TGAACGAGATGAACTTTAAGGTCCTTTCCAACACAAACCATTCCGTAATTCTATGGTTTTGTGTCTTTCCTGCCCTTACAACTGGGGAACTGCTAATACTGAATTTCCCAAGATAGGACACCAGGAGGAGCTCCAGGGTAGATAAATCTGGTTTATTTTATTATCCCATAGCCTGGAGTGGTAGGATGTGGCTGTCTACCTCCCCCGGGTGCTGGTGGCCACCTCGGTCTATCCTTGGAAATTGGGAGAGGGGCCTTTGGTGACATGGGAAAAACAAACAACTCCCACAGGCAGAGAGGTTTGTGGGGATCAGCTGGATCTGACCAACAGCCTGAATCTGGGATATCACCAGAGAGGTCATTCAGTTCCTGGATGCTCAGCCACATGGACATTTATATACTTTTATATATATTGTAAAAAATTATATATTATAAAAATGTATTTCAGTTTTGGGCCCTTCACAACAAGAAAGACATTGAGGGGCTGGAGTGTGTTCAGGGAAGGGAACGGAGCTGGGGAAGGGGCTGGAGCACCAGGAGCAGCTGAGGGAGGGGGGGGGGCTCAGCCTGGAGAAAAGGAGGCTCAGGGGGGACCTTCTCCCTCTCTGCAATTCCCTGGCAGGAGGGTGGAGCCAGATGGGGGTTAGTCTCTTCTCCCAGGGAACAAGGTAACACTTGTTATAATATTTATATAATATTATTTGCTATTATATTAAATTTACAGGCTTTGTTCTTGCTGATGGGGTAAAAGCCTAAAAATTCCATAGTGCATGAAAATGATGATGGGGTGTGTGACATTTTAAAAGAAAAGCAAAGAGAGAATAGAATGGAGGTTGTAATTCTCAAGAAACCTGGCTTGAGTAATACCAGGGGCTCAATAGGGAAGATCCCATGGGAAGTGTGCAGCCTTTCCTGAGTGACATCATGCTCGTTTTGATATTAAAGATCACAGGTAAGAAAAGTAACAATTCAGGGAATCCAACAAAAACAACCGAAGAGTTCAGTCATGTATGTTCCCTGTCACCTCCTTTCGAGTTGTGTCCCTAATAGTTTCCCTAGTCTCATCCCTGCTGCGTGGGATTGAGAAGAGGAGCCCCAGCTCTGGCCCTGACCCTTGTTTTGAGTTGAGTGACCCGACACAGAGCCTGCCCATTGCTACCCTCATGCCTCACCCACCAACCAGCCCATCTGTCCTGCCATGGGCTTGTTGCAGCACCCAGGACTTCCTTGGCACCTTATTTTATATAATCCTAGAATGATTTGTGTTGGAAAGGACCTTAAAGCTCATCTAGTCCAACTGTCCCAGTCCAATGGGCAGGGACACCTTCCCCTATCCAAGCCCTGTCCAACTTGACCTTGAACACTTCCAGGGATGGGGCAGCCACAGCTTCTCTGGGTAACCTTTGTCAGGGCCTCGCCACCGTCACAGCCAAGAATTTCTTCCTAATATCTAATCTAACCCTTTCCTCTGGCAGTGCAAGCCTTTCTGCCTTGTCCAGTCCCTCCAAGCCCTTGTTGAAAGTCTCTCTTCAGCTTTCTTGGAGCCCTTTCAAGCACTGGATGAGGCTCTAAGGTCTCCCTGGAGCCTTCTCCAGGCTGAACCATCCTAGATCTCCCACCCTGTCTCCATAGCAGAAGTGCTCCAGCCCTCAGAGCATCTTCATGGGCCGTGTTGCATTGTACCTTAGTATTGTATTTCTCAAACCCTTAGTCCACCCCCTCTCTGCAGGGTTACTGATTCTAGAAATCAACCCTGCTATTTATCTCCCTGCTGCAGGACAGGTGAACACTCAGTCTGCAGGGATTAGGAGTGAATTCCCCACACCAGCACCATCAGCATCATGTAATCCCTGCCTCCCATTCATCCCACAGCTCTGACCAAAGCATGACGAAGGCTCAGGGGGTGACAGCCAAAAATGAGGTTTGTCCTTGACCTGTGGAGGGAGCCCAGAGGTGCCACTGGTCCCCTCTGAGTTCCCACAGCTGTAACATGGAGCTGTGGTCACTGTTGTGCTGGAGCAACATTCCCATGCAGAGGTTTCCGCCGGTGGTACCTGTGGCACACCTGGCAGCCACATTTCCCCTCAGATTTTGGTGTTTTCCATTCACATCTCTTGGCTGTGGTCTGCTCTTGGCCATGAATCTTGCTGATGTGATAAAGCCCTGTGAGCAAACCCTGCCCGGAGTAACTCCTGCGTGGATGTGATCGATCAGAGCTCTAAACCAAAAGGTGATCTCGAGGTGTCACACGTCAGAAGGGTAAAATCTGGGGTGACCAGAGAGGCAGGAGCAAGCTGCTGGAGGTACAAGCCCTGCCCGGTGCTGCAGCCACCTCATTCTGAAATATTCATTCGATCCTGACATCCAGAGCTTTCCGAGGCTGCAATCTCAACCCTTTGCTGCTGCAGGCTACGGAAGGTCCTCTGAGCAACCTGATCTGGTGAAAGATGTCCCTGCCCCTGGCAGAGGCTTGGAATGAGGTGAGCTTTAAGGTCCCTTCCAAGCTAAACCATTCTGTGATTCTGTAGTCCAAGTCCAACTTGAAATGAGGCATTTCTTATGCCTGCAGTGCTGTGAAAACCTGAACCTGCGTGTAACAAATCCTGCAGTGCAAACAGTGGGTTTCCTTATGGTAACTCAAGAGTAGAAGAATTCTTTTAAGTGAAATTAAAATTTTATGGTTTATTTCCAAGCCCCCATCCCTGCTCCAAGGCTGCGATGTGTGGGAGTGAATAGCTTTTTGAGATAACTATATTACTAATTTAAGGAAGAAATTCTTGGCTGTGAGGGTGGTGAGGCCCTGGCACAGGTTGCCCAGAGAAGCTGTGGCTGCCTCATCCCTGGAACTGTTCCAGGCCAGGTTGGACGGGCCTTGGAGCAACCTGGTCTAGTGGAAGGTGTCCCTGCCTAAGGCAGGAGGGTGGAACTAGACGATCTTTAAGGTCCCTTCCAACCCAGACCATTCTGTGATTCCATGAATACGAGTATTTTTCTTCCCTTCTAATGATTCCTGTTTAGTGACCCCTTTCAATGAAATTTTCAGTGAACTTCGATGAAAGACAAGTTCAATCATAGGAAATTTCGGGTCAAAGAGGGAATCCCTGCAGAATTTACAGGCTGCTGAAGGCACAAATTGTGAGTGGAAAGTGGTGGTGGGGGTTCATAACCCGATATTTGACGTGACGACATCATTGCTTCTTCACACGTAATGGTTTCCACTTAACCCTGTTCCTGCACAATCCAACCCATTTTCATGGCAATGCCCTCTCCTTTCACAGTGAGCATTCAGGGGAAAAAAAGGAGGTCAGTTTCTGGGCTAAAAAAGGGGGATTTCTGGTAATTCTCCCCTCTCTTGGTCTTCGATGCTCAGTGCCGCATCTCAGTAGATGCGCTGGTGGATACATAGAACAGTCAGAATAGGAACATGTGTCACAGGATTTGTATTACTTCAGGTAAACATAGTAACCTGAAATGTGAAAAATTTATGTGAAAAGAGTCTCCGGTCTCTGAGCTGAGCGTTGATTCAGACCACAAAATCATGACAACATCCTGCAGTGATGTAAAGCATCAGTCAATGGAGATTTCTGGTGGTATTATTCAGGCCAGATTAGTCCCTTCTCACTGGAAAATTACACAGATTTGCAAGAGGATTCTGATTTTCTGTAGGACCAAAAATGTCATGAATCTGTTGATTTCCTGGAGGACTGAAAATGAATTTGTGTGAAGAGTCCTACACTTCAGTCCTCTGCTTCTAGCTGGGCTACGTGGCTTTGGGAAACGTTTCTCTAAGGGCTTTTCTCCACAGAAAAGCTGGTTAAAGTGGTTATATAGGCCTTTTTTCTGCCATAAAAATAGCTTTTACTCCCAAAGAAACCTACTGGTGCTCCTAGGGAAACAGCAGGTGGGTGTTTGTGTTGGTGCATGAAGCAATGAGGGACTGGGGGACCCAGGGGCAGCTGCTGGAGAGATCCAGTGGTGGGGTCACCGTCCCTGGAGGTGTTTAAGGAAAGACTGGAACTTTGTGGCATGGTCTAGTTGACATGGTGATGATAGGGCATAGGTTGGACTTGATGGTCTCAGAGGTCTTTCCCAACCTAATTGATTCTGTGATTCCACGTATATATATATATATATATATATACACATATATATATATATATACACACACATATACATATTGACTCCACATGAGTTTGTTCCAATGCTACCACTGGGAGTCCTGTGCTCCCAGTTGCCCCCACACCTCACCCCTCACCATTGCTGTGCCATCACTGTCTACAGCCCCTGCGCTGGTGGGGGTGGTACAGCCCTTTCAGACACTTTAAAATGAGAAAAAACTGTTTAAAAATATTTTCACCAGCCCCTGTGGCACTCAGAGGGGAGTTAGGCAGAATGCAGTGCAGTATGGCCATGGGGCAGGTCACACAGAATCACAGAATCATTTAGGTTGGAAAAGACCTCTGATATCGTTGAGTTCAACCTTTGACCAATTCCCACCTTGTCAACCACACCAGAGCACTGAGTGCCACGTCCAGTCTTTCCTTGAACACCTCCAGGGATGGGGACTACACTACTTCCTGGAAAGCCCATTCCAATGTCTAATTACCCTTTCTGAGAAGAAATTCTTCCTAATGTACGACCTAAACCTCTCCTGGCACAGCTTGAGACTATGTCCTCTTGTCCTGTCACATATTGCCTGGGAGAAGAGCCTGACCCCCACCTGGCTACACCCTCCTGTCAGGGAGTTGTAGAGAGGGAGAAGGTCCCCCCTGAGCCTCCTTTTCTCCAGGCTGAGCCCCCCCAGCTCCCTCAGCTGCTCCTGGTGCTCCAGCCCCTTCCCCAGCTCCATTCCCCACCATGAATGTCCAAGGAGTCCATCCAGGAGAAATGCTGCTCCAAGGTCCACCCAGTTGACAAGGCCAGAGAAGGGACAGGAAAGCAGCACTCTGACAGCATAGCTCAGGCAGGCACTGGGAGTCAAAGCTGATCTGAAATGGGGCCCCTGCTGATGGTAGTTGAGGCCACTAAGGGCGATCAGTGCCCTCAGGGCCCTTTACAGGGCCTTTCAAAGAGAGCAGAGCTTTTTGTAGAGCTCTCATCAACATGGAACCTCAGCAGTGAAAGGGAGAGACATCCCAGGTCCTGGTGCTCTGAGGTCTCCCAGAAGGAATTCCCTGTGGCTCCTATTCTTCCCCTGCCCTGTCCTTACAAGACAGAGGGAACCCCAAGAGCAGGTGGGGATGAATTGTGCAGCTGGGGCCAAGGGAGGTTAAATGGTGAAGTTCCACGTGCTGTCCTCATTTTGAAAGCCTTGCTGGGTGCCTGGCTTTGCAGTTTGCTCATCTCTGCTGTCTGGTTTGTGTGAGGCACGTGGAAGTGCATCCACACACGTGTTTGTGGTGAAAGAACATTATTATTAGAAAGAGGGGGTGGGAGGGGGTAAAAAAAAAGCTGCCTGAACAATTTTTTTTTGTTCTTTTTCTTTCCTTATCTCTTTATCTGCCTGAAGAAATAGTATTGGCTAATTTGGGATTCTGGTGATAGTATCTGCCCTCCCCTTTTGGGGGGTAGATGGAAGGAAGTGGGCTAGGAAATGAAATATTCAGCTCTTAAACTCAGGTCAGGTAAGGCAGCTGTGCTGCAATGGAAAGGGTGGTAGTGGCTGAACTTTGCTATAAAAAGGAGATCACAACTGTCTTTGAGGCACAAGCAGGTGGAAGGGGCCTCAGAGAAGGAGAACTCTTGTGCCTTGTCACCCTGTGTATCTGCCCAAAGCAGCAGAGAGGTTGCCATGGTTTTTTCCAGCTACACTGCCATGGTAAGTACTTACATTTAATATAAAGGTTAAGAAATATTTTCTGCAAGAGAGAAAGCAGAGTGTAGGTCCTATGATTTCTACAAGAAACCCTTTTGGTCCTGGTGAGATGCTGATTCTGTCAGATGCAGCTGTGTTTGGTGCTTGAGTGACAAGGATGTGGTGGACTATTTATGATTTATTTGTCTCTTAGTTATCAGCACTTGGGAAAGACAGTCCTTTTTTCAGACAACATGCTATAAAAATTGCTGAAATTTCACTGTGAACGTCTATGAATTTAAATTTCAACCTGGGTAGCATTTGCAGCACAATCAGCTCCTGTGATTTCCTTAAAACCTCTTCATTTATTTTGTCTTCTTTTTGGGAGTTGGATTTGATGATCCTTGTGGGTCCCTTCCAACTCAGAATATTCTATGACTCTATGAGTCACTAAAGCTCTGTCTACTGGAGATGGCCCGAGAATCTCAGATTTCCTTGGGAAAAGGGTTATTTCCAGCAGATGAGGGTGGCCAGTCTTTACTGTCCTGAGAAATCATATGGCTTGCTGGATTTCTAAGGCACAAGGTCAGCTCAGTCCTTACCCCCCTTTGTAGATCATAAGACAGTGCTGTGTGACTGTGGAGGAGGACCTTTTGCAGCTTGTTTGAGGGATGCTCTTCTTGGTGCAAAGCCAACTATGAATCAGAATTTAAATCAGATTTTAGCACCTGTTCTGATGAGTTTTATTTGCAGTGTTGTGCTGTTTGTTCATGCTGGCCCGTCTCACCCAAATATAAGTATGAAGATAGTCCATTGATGGTCCAGTCAAGTCAAGACTTGGCTTTTTCTGCTCTCCCTTTCTTGCCTGGACAGAACTAAGATAACTTTCCTCTCTCCCAGTTCAGATCACTGTTTTTGGTGCTGGTTCTAGCACTCACTGTAAGGAGCTCACCCCACAAGAAGGTGGTTCACGCTCAACCCAGAAAGGCCAGTGCCTCTGTGAGGCTGAGTGAAGATTGCCTGAACCAAAGGGATCTCAAATTCCCCACAGCAGTGGAAGTCAGCATTCGTATCAGCAAGTCACATCATGCCTTTAGGATGGTCCATGATATCAGGAACCGATCTCTTGCTCCTTGGGATTACAGGTAACTGTTCACTTGTTATCTAAATTGTGAAGTCTGTGTACACAGAGGATTTTTTTGGGGTGAACGACGGCTATTTCTCAGCATATGCCCAGAGTCCTGTAAATACTGCAAACACTTCTTGACACATGCTGATTTTTGATGTTGTGTGAGATTTCTCCAAGAGAAACTGTTTGAAGTGCAAAGGGACTTCATTGGAAAGGTTTCTAATCATCTTGTCAGCCTGTGTCAATCACAGAACCCTTTAGGTTGGAAAATACCTCTAAGATCATTGAGTCCAACCATTCCCCCAGCACTGCCAGAGCCACCACTAAACCATGTCCCCAAGTGTCACATCTACACAGCTTTTAAACCCCTTCAGGGATGGTGATTCCACAACTGCTCTGGGCAGCTGTGCCAGGGCTGGTCAACCCTTTTGGGGAAGAAATTTTTCCTTTTATCCAATCTAAACCTCTCCTGGCACCACTTGAGGCGTTTTCCTCTTGTCACGTGTTCCCTGGGAGCAGAGCCCGACCTTTACCTGGCTCCACCCTCCTGTCAGAGAGTTGGAGAGCTAGAAGTCTCCCCTGAGCCTCCTTTTCTCCAGGCTGAGCCCCCACCAGCTCCTTCAGCTGCTCCTGATGCTCCAGCCCCTTCCCCAGCTCCGTTCCCTTCCCTGGACACGCTCCAGCTCCTCAATGTCTCTCTTGTCTGAGGGGCCCAGAGCTGCCTCCAGCACTGGAGGTGCCCCAGCAGTGCCAGCACAGGGATGGGCACTGCCCTGGCCCTGCTGCCACACTATTGCTGATACAACCCAGGTACCATTGGCCTTCTTGGCCATTTGAGCACTCCTGGCTCATGTTCAGCTGCTGTCAACCAGCACCCCCAGGTCCTTTTCCAGCTTTCCAGCCAATCTGCCTCTAGCCTACAACACTGCATGGGGTCAAAATGATGATGAAACGAATTATTCCTCTGGGAAAAGAATGATGTCAGTCCATTGTAATTCTAAATTTTCCAAACTGAAAGAAGTTTCTGAATTCTGAAATTAAAACCATTTTAAAAACCATTAAAAAAATGAATTGTGCAATTGCAATCGGTTCTGTATTTAACTTGACTTCTCTTCATTCAATTCCCAAAGAATGATACAGCAGTATTACCCTCCCAAAATTGATTCCATTTCTAGGAAATAATTCTAAAACATGTTGAGGAAAGGGAAATTATTTGGCCAGATCTCATAGTGAGGACGCACAGGTGAACAGTAAGGTGCTTCCATGGAGATAAACAAGAAGATTCTCCAACCCGCGCTTTGCAAAGACATAAATCCCTTTTGTGTGCCCATCCCCAGGCTCGACAAGGATCCCAACCGCTTCCCCCAGGTGATTGCCGACGCCCAGTGCCGCCTCTCTGGCTGTGTGAGCCCCCTGGGGCAGGAGGACCGCAGCCTCAACTCCGTGCCCATCAAGCAGGAGATCCTGGTCCTGCGGCGGGAGCAGCAGGGCTGCCGGCCCACCTACCGCCTGGAGAAGAAGGTCATCACCGTGGGCTGCACCTGCGTCACTCCAGTCATCCACCACCACTCCTAGGAGGAGTTATTAGGGCAGGCGACACTGGGAAGAAGCAATATATCCTATAGACGCCCCTCTGGTGAAATCCCACAGTCGCCCACCGCGAATCCCAGGAATTCAACACGACATCGCCCTTCCAAACCTGAGCAAATTACCTCTTGAAATTACCTCATGATTCAGCTGTTGTTGCTTGATGGATTTTAGAGTGGGAATCGCCGGTAGCTGGTGATGGAGGGGAGGGAAAGGGATGGAGAAAAAGCTTTGTTTGTGATCCCAAGCAGTGAGAGGGTAAAGCAGTGCTTTTTTGAATTTATTTTTCATTGTGGTTTATACCAGTTTGGTGAATCAAAGGAGTTATATTTTCAAAAGTTCTCCTTGGCTGTAAGTTGCCCTAATGAATACATACCTACCAGCACTGCCATAAAAAATTTGTCCTCCTGCACCTTCTCCTTCCCTTACTCATCCTCTACCCCTTTCCCTTCTCTGGCCACCCCTGCTCACTATGATATTATCTGTGTCAATCAAATATTTGTGCCAACAGGCCTGAACTGTTATCACACTCTGGTTTTGTTTGGTTTTGTTTGGTTTGGGCTGATTTATTGCAGAGCATTTTGGGAGAGAATTGACTCCACTGCAGTGAGTGTTAAAATGGTTAAGAACCAATGAATATTTATATTTCTATTTATGTCTTCTATTTATGACTGTATTTATGGCTTTGTGTGTGCTCAGAATACAAAAAAAAAGATAATTTTAATCTGTATTTATTCAATAACTTATCTGCTGAATAAAAAATCATATTTTATTTAAAAAAAAGTTGTTTTGTGGTAGCTCAAAATGAAAGCAGACACAGAGAATGGGTTTGTGCTGCAGTAGCACCAAGAGATTTCAGCAAAGATCAGGCGTTTTCCGGTATAGTGATATGAGTAAGAGTGGGCAGAAGAGAATTTGCAGCCTAAATAGATGAAAAGATGCAAAAAAAGAGGCTGAAAGGAGTAAAGGGAGGTTCTATAGGCATCACTGGGGGACATGGCAATGGAACCAGGTTCTCCAGACCTTGGGGATGGTCTCTGGGAATGGTGGGAAATGAGATGGGACATATCACATCGCAAGGCTGCAGCTGGAATTTGGGAACCTGATTCATGAGAGCTGGGAAAGGCCTGTCCTATTGTCTTCCAGACAAGAAGTCATCCTGACAAGCACCTTCTTCTCCACCAGCTGGATGGCTGGCTGAGCAGGAATGCAAGGAAATACGAGATGGCTTCATCTTGCTGATCTTTAGCCAGCTAAATAATGGGTGCTGGGATTGGAGTGGTGGAAGAGGATCCCTCCCCATCAAGGGAACAAGAATTGTACCTGCAGGGCAGGGCTGTCTGCAGAGCTGGGATCTCCTACCTTAGGAAAGGAAGAATTGCCCTTTCTCTCCCTTAGCTGCACGAGGAGCAGAGACTGAAAGGACTCACTGTTCAGGAGCTGGACTCGATGATCCTTGTGTGTCCCTTCCAACTCAGGGTATTCTGTGATTCTATAACTATTTATTATTTTATCAAATTGCTGCAACGTTGCTTTTTTTTTGACATTACTTCATCTTTCACCCAGAGCTGAGCCAGACTCTCAGACCTCTGACTTTGATTTCTGTTGGTGGAGGCTTTAAGCCTCTATTTCCTTTTTCCCCTGCATTTAAATCAGGGCAAACCTGTGTGAATGCATTCTCGTATTTCATTTTGACTGCACAGAAACCACTTAAAATTAGATCCACCTGGTGCAGGTAGACCCTGGGTTTCCTCCCAGAGTAGGTCAGGTGAGTTGTTGGGTCTAAATGACTCAAGGACAGGTTGGACTCGACTTAGAGCAAGCTGGTCTAGTGAAAAGTGTCCCTGCCCATGGCAAGGGGGATTGAAACTAGATGATATTTAGGGTCTCTTCTAACCCAAACCATTCTGTGATTCTGTGATTCTATGATTCTGTGATGATTCCTTTGGTGCTTTTCTGTCAAATCAGGTGTATTCTCTGCCCTGTGGGTTGCTGGGAGCTGGTTTGACAGTCCATGGGTAACCATCTCATTCAGTTACAGGCATTTGTACTCATTTGTGGCAGCAGCTGTTTCGTTATGACCACCAAGCTCTTCACGTGGTGCAGAGCAAACCCCTGGAGGCGTTTTCTGCTCGATCTCATGTATCACCAGCTCTGCTCTTACAGTAACCGCTGACCAGGAAATCGTAACCTGGTTCTTGCTCCTGACCTATTTCTTTCCCTCTCGATAAACCCACCTCGTGGGGTTGTCCTCACTTGTTTTTCAGGGAGAAAACTACTCTCTGTCTCTCTTCTCAGTCCTAATTTCTTTGACATTGCATGTCAAAGTTCATGGCAGCTGCCTGGGTGTACTCTCCTGTGCTGGTACGCCTAAACATCCATCGCCTTACCCTAAGAGTCATCCTACCTGGATAAATGATGAAGTATCTAATCAAGAAAATACACAAGTAGCTAATTAAGGAAGTCTCACCTGTGGGTCACGAGGTTTTGCAGCCAGAACTACCAACTGAAAACCACACACCTCTCAGGGAGGCATGTGGGGAATGTTTCTAAACAGAACGAGCATCGGCGGCTATTTCCTTCTAATGGCATCATTCTTAGAGTGCAGCTGGTTGTAAACATGAACCTGGTTATATTTAAGGTGCTGGCTTTCATTTCCAGCAATCTATTAATTTGGGGGTTGGAACTAGAATGATCTTTGAGGTGCCTTCCAACCCAAACCATTCTGTGACTCTGTGAACCTGAGAACATGGCAAATGAGTTTGTGCTTCTTGTAAACAGCACAGTCATATCACCACCGAGAGCAAGCACAGTTAACAGCTGAGGACCAGCCTTTACTAAAGACTCTGCTTGTTTTATAACACTTCAGCAACAGATCCAGCCCTTGGGTGTCCTGTTGGGCATCTGTGTCTCTCAGTGTGGCTCAGAGCAGCCTTCAGGGACTCGGCTGTTTTACCAGGAGGAGAAGACACATCTGGAGGTGTGATAGCAGTGCCACAGTGTTTTCTTGTAACCTGCTGGGCTAAGCAACCTCCAGTCAAAGGTTGGTATCTGAGCCTCGTGGCCTTTCCTATCCCTTTCCTCTTCTGCTTGCCTCTCACTAACCTCTTTTCCATGTCTCTTGCTCATTGCTCCCCTTGCTGTGCCTGTTCTGGCAGCTCAGGCAGGGATCCTGGTGTAGTAACTCCCATGGGATGCTAGTGCAGAGACCCATGTATTAGCATGGGGGGCACAGCAGTGATCTCTGCTCAGGTAGATGCCTCCTCCCTGACTTGTGCTGTGAGCTGTGAATGTATTGACCTGAAAGTGTGAGTAAGGCTTCTTTGGACCCCTGACCACAGGGGTGTTCAAAGGGACCATGGACCAGGGCATCCTGTTACACAGAAAATATTGCTTTTTAAAGTGTACAAAATTAAATATATAAAGAATGCAAAGGTTGCAACCCTAGAGGTTGAAACAACCCAAGAATTATTTGTGTTTGTGTTTGGTGAACCAGAAAAAAAGATTAATAGCTGGAAAACTCAGCAGTTGACATAGTTTGTTCAGAGTTAGACCCTACAGGAGAAACTTTAAGGGTATGAGCAATTTTCTGGTCAGTCTTGTGGGGACCTATTGGTTGGTGCCAACATGATGGGTATAAATGATGGGGTGAATTTCTGTATCAGCTGCAAGTTTTGGAGATGGCCCAAGATACCAGATCAGAAACCTGCTCCCATGTCACCATCAGGGGGCAAAACATGAGACTTGTCTTGATCTTCTCTGTGAGAGTGGTGAGGCCCCGGCACAGGTTGCCCAGAGAAGCTGTGGCTGCCCCATCCCTGGAAGTGTCCAAGGCCAGGCTGGATTGTGCTTGGAGCAATCTGGGATAGTGGGAGGTGTCCCTGCCCATGGCAGGGGATCGGAATAAGTGATCTTTAAGGTTCCTTCCTATCCAAACCATTCTGTAATTCCACAATCTCTTTTTGTCTCCACCCCCTTCTTCCTCTTACTTCTTTGATATTATTTTTAACTTTGTGCTTTAGAAGAATCCAGATGAGTGGGCTGAGCCTGCATTTTCTGCACCACTGTTACATGACAGTGACGAAGAAAACCCAAACTTGCTTAAAATGTTTGTGATTGTCTGGCACTACTTGGCAGAGTCAGAGCCGTTGGTGGGGGCAGGACTGTGCTGGTTCTGGTTTTCAGGAGCTGAGAAAATGCCAGTCAGATTCAGCACCAGAAACAGACCATACCTTCTGGTTTTTGATGCTCACAAAGAGGAGTTCCAGAAGTTGGACTTCGATGCTCCTTGTGGATCCCTTCCAGCTCAAGATACTCTATGACTAAAAACATTTTCCATCTTTTCTAATTATTCTCCCTTCTTCCAGGGCTAGATAGTGGTAGCAGGTTCAAATCCTCAGGTCCTCAGAAAAATCCCTTCCTGCTTTCTATGTGACTTTCTATTTATTTATTATTCCTTTGGAAAAGTGGCTCAGCTTTTCCACCTTTTCTTGTAACTTCAACAAAATATTAAAAATATGCTTGATGCTCTTTGGGGGTCATGGACTGACAAAATATTCTTTTCTGGGCACAGCTTTCTATGAGTGAGTAAAACCTGTACAAGCCATCATGTTTTTGTTTTATCTGCATTCTTAGTAAGCACAATATATCTGTATCATGATCAAAGTTCTGGTAAATGGATAGAGACGGTTTATCTTCTCTCTAACTTGCCCCTAGAATTTTTTGGTCTGGCTTTTTATTTCAGACTTCTGAAACCTGTGTTTCTTGGCCTCCTTGATACAGTTGAATCTGTATCACCTTTTACAAGCATCTGGTTTCTATCCAGATTGCTTTGATGAGCCTGGTTATCTGATCACTTGCTGCACAAATCCAATCTCAAACTGCCCTTTCTGCTGGGTTTTGCTCACAGGGTGCCAAGCAATCTGTTTGCCAAGGCACTGCTGCTCAGATTTTGCAGACTGACACAAAACTGAAATGGGGAGCAGTGGAAACTTTTATGTTGAAGAGGCTTTTGCAGCAATTTCCCCCCCCTCCCTCCAATGATGATATCGTTTAAGGGCATCAAATTAGCAGAAATTTGCACTGCATCTCTTGAAAACAAGAAGGAACAAACTTTACCTGTTGAACCTCAAA